TCTCCGACTCAGATTAATGAAAGAAAAAAAGAATAAAAATTTCTCATAAAAATTCTTAAGATCTTTTTCCTTCATTTTTTCCAAAATTTAAATATTATAAAAAATATTATTTAAATGCAAAATGCATCGCCATAGATTTACCGTCATATATTTTACATGTACTAACATTATTGTTTTTATCTTTTTTATAAAAAATTCTTAATCTAAAAACTATGTCTTTTCACAATTTTAAAAAACAAATCATGACAAGTTAATATATGATTCGCATTTATTTCTTTATATTTTGCAACCATAAAGCTCGACGTTTAGGATCTCTTAGAAAAACTTTCATGATATAATTTTTCCTTGATGAATTATTGCAAAGTGTTGCCGAACATCCACCCATTTTATTATATTGATTAATCACATTTAATTAATTTATTAATATATTTCGTAATTTTATTATCTCTATATTATTTGATAATATATATCGCTTTCCATGTATTTAATGCACTTAAATTAATGCACATGCAAAGATATCGTTTACCAAGGCTGCGTTCCGATGTTCATGCCAATACTGAAAATCTATAATATACGTCATCTGTACTGTATATTTTCAATACTGGCATCGGAACGCAGTCCAAAACACGTTATCGTAGGTTAAAGTCAGATGATGTATATTTCTTTCTCTTTCGTAGGATTTAGACAAAACATGGCGGATCAATTGTGGTCAGTCTCTTATTGTAGTGTCTCTAGGTTGCTTGACCGATCAGAGGAGATGGAATGAAATAAAACGTTAGGTGTGTCGGCGTCCGTTTTTCATATATATCATAAGAATCGTGATCGTAGTATTAGCACACTGAATACATAGTGATAATCAAGTTGAGTGGTAATTAAATTCTTGGTTTAACCGGGAAATCGATTTAAGTAGAAGTGCACATGATTGCAATTTCATAACGATCCGAAAATGTTTTGGTAAATGCGCAACAATAGCATAGCCTGAGAAAACGGGTTTAGGCGACTAAACTACATTGTTTTTCATCGCGTCTGTTGTTCATCTGTACACGAAGAAGGGTATGTTCTTATGGGGTAGCGAGTGGGCGATAGCCTTTGTTGTGGAATGGAGACGGAGAGCGTAAAATCCGGGGCTAGCGAGCATAGCCATAGCCATCACAGTAGAAGCTCTCAAAAGCATCATCGATCTCACAGCTCGAAACAACATCACAGGCAGCATTCTCATCGCACCACTAGGTAAATCTGATGAATCATAATTATATGTTCTAAGTAAGGATAGCATTTTAATGTTTTCTTCGAATGCATGCACGTCTCTTATATGATTGTACAATTGTATTTTTATTGAACTACTCTATTGAAATAAAAATTATGAAAGATCTATTTTTTTCGATTTTTTCTTTTCTCTTTATTCATATTAATATAACATTAGGAGCAATCGAAATCAAAGGAAAGAGAGACAGAATTTGGATACAAGCGAAATGGCTCCATTTCAAACGACAGTAAATGTGCGAGGAGATAGTGTGGATAATTTAGGTCAGGAAGTAATTGAGGTACAGATACTACCGCAAGATGAGAATTGGGGAGAAAATACTACAGCTGTTACTGGCAATACTTCGGATAGATCAGAATCAACTGAAGATGTCAGCCACTGGCCAAATGAAACTGATGGCACATTTGGTTCTGGTTGTAATCGCTATATTAGTTTAATCGTGGCAATAATACTTGGAATAAGTGCTTTTTTTAGTCCTATAGCTATGGTTATTTTACCTAAATTAGGATTTTTTCCCGATTCTACAACAATATTGACGATACAACAGAAGTTACATCTATTGTCATGTAACATTGAATGCAAAGGTCAACTATTAGGATTAGCCTTTAAATTAGTGCTACTAGTTATTGGTAGCTGGGCTGTGTTTCTGCGTCCTCGAATTGCTACTATGCCACGCATATTTTTATTCAGGACAGGAGTATTGTTACTCACTACATTGTGCATTTGTACTTATTGGCTTTTTTATGTTGTACAGGTAATAATTTTAGATTTTAGAATTGCAATTCATGTAATTATCTTTTGAATATATGCGCACGTGTGCACACATACATGTGTGTTAAAATATTTAATATTTTTTATTAAAATATTTAATATTTTTTAGGTCACTGAGAGTGCTAAGACTGTTGCCAATGGCGAAATAACAGAGTACAAAAGTTTAGTAAATTATGCAAGTAATCTTGCCAATACACTCCTGCTTATTCATTACACCGCAGTGCTCCTTATTAATATTCGTCATCTACAGCCTACGTTTTATCTTAAGGTATACAAATTCATTATATTTTATCATATCATTCAATAATATCTGATTGTAACATTCGTTTTGAATTATGCATTTTGTGGTATTTTCATTCATAGGTTGTTAGATCACCAGATGGTGAGTCAAGAGCCTATGCAATTGGCCAGTTATCGATACAAAGAGCAGCTGTATGGGTACTAGAAAAATATTATACAGAATTTCCGATTTATAATCCATACTTAGAAAGACTTCCGGTTTCAAAGTCAAGTAGAAAGCAATCGAGTTTCAAATTTTATGAGGTTGATAGTGGAATGACCAGTGCCATGCAATCACGTGCTAGTGGAGACCGAGCGATCTTGACGGCACAAGCCCGTCGTCGTGATTCCAGTCATAACGAACGCTTCTACGAAGAGCATGATTATGAACGACGGGTGCGAAAACGTCGTGCAAGATTAATTACTGCCGCCGAAGAGGCATTTGCACATATCAAACGGTTGCACTCCGAAGTAGAATCTACGCCAAATCCTGGGCCAATGGACCCTATGGAAGCCGCGCAAGCAGTATTTCCTTCTATGGCAAGAGCTTTACAAAAATATTTAAGAATCACTCGACAACAACCACGTCACTCCGTAGAATCTATTTTGAATCGTCTTGCTCGATGTCTTGCTCAAGATGCGGCACCACGCGCATTTTTAGAACCATTCTTTGCCACGAGCCCAGTGTTTTCAAATGAAAAGGAGAGACAAAAACGATCACACCATTGGGCCTTAGTATGCGAGGGAGAACTACCTTCACGTCCGATTGCTAATGGTTGTGAGTTTCAATTAAGACAAGGCGAAGTAGCACTTTTGTGTACAGCATATAAATTACCTCACTTCAATCTCACCGAACAATTGGCACATCCTAAATCAAATAAGTTTCTTTTGCGTTTAAATTCGGAAACCTCTGTTTAAAATATTTGACAATATTCGAAATAGATTAATTCTATGATACTTGTACAAAATTACGGCTCTTGAGTATTCAGCTAAGAACTTCGCGTAGACGGTAGCAATACAGTAAAAACTAATCATGATAAAAATTAGAAACACATTCGTCTTTGTTTATCTAATCCTTGTCTTTGTTTATCTTTATATTAGTAACGTGTAAACAACGAAATTTGTTATTGTAATTAATTTCTTTATTACGTACTTAATCATGCAAATGTGACTTGTTTCATATTTACCAATTCGTAAAAATGGACGGCAGCTAAAATTATCTTTGAATTTTATGTATGTTTTTCACTTTTTTCAGTAATTGTCAAACTGTGTGTTTTCTGCTTGAATAGGCTTTTTTACGTGCTTTTACAGCTTTATTTATTGATTATAGAAAGGGAAAGGATAGTAGCCGTCCATTTTCATAAGTGTCTTAAAGCCATCTCAAGTGTTTTAATCAAATATCTATTTGCAAATTAATTGCAATAAACTTTACTGTGTCATTTCTCATCACAATTCCAATATGGCTGCAGTAACTACTCAGTAGCCTTAAATGAAAATGTTTCAAAACAAATGTGCTTTGAATCAACTTTGCAGATGTTTAGAAATTATTAATAATTAATATATCTTTTGTGTGTGATGAGAACACATATTTTATTTTAAAAATATGATATAAGAAAGATGTTAAATTTTATTTTGTGTCGAAAATATTTTTTAAACATTAAATTTTAGTTATACCAAAAATTTTTTAACAATTTTACAAAGAGGAAGAATAAATAAAATATTATCTAAAATTTTTATTGTAACATAAATTGAAACATGGATTGTAAAACAGTATAATAGTATTTAAATATATTAATATAAACTAAAAGTATAATGTTTAGAAGCATTTAGAAGAATAATTTATTATTGCTTTCTTGATGATATTTTTGTTAATTTTTTTCTTTTTAAGGAAAACTCGTATTGACATTAATAATGATTCATTCTTATAGATAGATACATTTCAATTGTTATATAAAATGATTATTTACTACTAATATAAAAAGTACTATAATATAAAATACTCAATTTTTTAATCTTTTTAAAACATGCACACATGCTTATTTATTTCATCATATTCCATGATATGAATTGTATATATGTATACCTTAAATATATCTAAATGAATTTTTAATGGTGTGTATATATACAATATATACATATATATACAATATATACATATATTTATTTTGAGATAAAATATATATAAATAAATTTATTATGGCGATTTGCTTGATAATAAGCTAATAATTGGCTAATATAAAATAATAAGATAGAGCTATTTTATTTTGATATATTTCTGAATAAGAATATATTGAACCTTTTCTCTTATTATATATTGTATTTTTTCTCAAAAATGTATTGCATTATGATTTAAGGGAAAAGGAAACATAAAAACAAATATGTGAGTAAATCATATTCATTCAAATAATATAAAATAATAAGCGGCAAATATTCGAGACAAGATCTTAGGCGCCTAATAATCTCATTTGAAAAATGAAGACAAATATAAAATATTTTTTTTTTATTTATTACAATTGTAGATATTTAAGCAAATGTCGATTATTGACAATTTGTAAAAGTGATGGAATAAATTTATAGTTGGTATTCAATGAAGAATTATACAAATAATTAAATATTTGTACTGATATTTACATTAATTAATACTTACTTCTAAGTTCGTAAACCATATATGTATTATCATATTCACATGGAAGGAAATGTGCTTTAAACATATCAAATTTTTATACGTATGTGTTTATATAAATATATTGCGCACACATGTATTACAATCGCATATATAATTTACATTCACTGTTAAGAAAAAGATAGGAGATTTGCATATGTTGATATTCTATGTTTCCAACATAATGATACGCACAAAAAATATACTCAATAATAGTCTTAATTTTTGTATTTTAACATTTTATATGATTTTTACTTTAATATAGCGCTTATTATTACATATATACAAATGGTGAAAAAATTAAATAATTAGAAATTTCGACATAATTCTCTGATAAATAATTAGATTTTTTTAGGTAATTTTCATTATATTAAATTTTTTTTGTGTTGTGATTAAATAAGAATTATGCTTTACAACCTATACAAGGTGTACCCACGTAAAGTGTTATAAGTTAATAACTCTAAAAAATATTTGTCGTATTAGAAAATTGTAAAATTGTATGAAAATTAGAAAATTGTCGTATGAGAAAATTTCATGTATTTGAGGAGTCTTTCTAATTATGTAAACAAAAATTCACTCTGTCTCCTCCTTGAAAGGGGGCGGGAATTAACTTCATAACTTCAAATGAAACCTATGAATTGTTATATAATTGTTTTCTACGATATAAAAATAAGTAAATTTTATCTGAAACATTTGTTTGAAAAATACTTCTATCAAAAGTTATCCAAATATATAATAATTTATAGGAAATTTCATTTGAAGTTACTTCCCATCCTTCTTCAAAGAGGTAACAGAGCGAATTTTTGTTTACGTAGTTTTGTTCACATAATTAGAAATGTTCCTTGAATACATGAAACTTTCTCATGAATTTTTTAGTGCGATAAATATTTTTAAAGTTATTTTTAGAGTTATTAACTCGTAACACATTATGTCGGCCACCCTATACATGTATCTGTATATGAATACTTAAATTATATTTTTTTTTATTTACTTTTATATGTCAATTGTTGCTACTGTTATTGATGTGATGGTGATGATGACGATGATGACGATAACAATGACGATGATGATAATGATGATAATCGAAAAAATACACTCTGAATAAAGTATGAAAATAATTTTAAATATGAATAATGAAATATATCGATTATAATATAATCCATATATAGCACAGATCTCTAAGCGATGTTATAAAAACGTCCAAAAGACATTTTAAAGAAGACGTCTTAAGGCTCGATTCTTTCGCGACGCGATATGGATTGTGTGACGTCAAAGGCGAGAAATGATTAATGTAAAAAGTTTCTTGCGTCGTATAGTTTTATCTTATTTTTTCCCTTAAAAACATATTTTCGTATTCTTAAAACTTGTAAAAATACCAGAAAGTAAGATATCTGTCCAATAAATCACGTAAAAGTATAAAATTAATTCTTGAAATAATGATCACTG